CAGCTTAATCCATGAACCCAATCAAAAGCTATTTAAATTAAGCAAAGGCCTCCCTCAAAATTCAAATTTATATAAAGCAAACTTTCACAATTTGTAGTCTTCTGGCTCACTGTACGGCACTCAGTGAAGACTGCTCTCCACTTCAGCTGATGGTATCACATGGTAATGAGCTTTTAGATTTAGTGGCATGTAGCTGCAGTTTGTGGTGCACACACACGTGGAGTCGTAGTCTCGATTCATGCTGGTCATTAAGCACTCATAAATGTTTCCTATGCTAAATTTGTGCCAAGGCGTCAATCAGCTTCACTGGAGCCTAACGCCCTCAGCGGGCCAATGGAAAAAATGGTGCCCCAATGTCTCATTGTGTGGCAAGTTGTCAGGGCCACATCTCATCTCTTTTATAGCCTATACTAATTGTCGGCTCGAGTCGAGTGCAAAAAACTGAAGCACGACGAAAAACTGGTGACAGTCAAGGTTGTCTGCCTTGGCTAATGGCTCGACAACTGCAAAAAGACTTTCACTTTACAGTATTTCGAGTTGTTTTACGCGCTCCGCTTTTGGACATTAAGTTGCACTTGACGCAGTCAACGTTACTGCCACACACAACTCATGCTACGACGACATCGCCTAAGATATGACTATAAAAGGAAGCGAGCGGCAAACGGTGCAACGGGCTGTGGCATGCCTGGCGGACTGTCTGCGTGTTGTCAAAAAAACTAAAAAAAAATGTTCGTGCAACATGCTGCAAGTTTCGCCAAGCTTCCGTTGTTGTACATACCCTTTTGCCATGTTGCAAATTGCAATTTTAATGGGCTACAAGATGCGAGCCATTGCACAACTTCCACTCTCAAATCTGCAACGCGGCGTATGCGTAATAAATTCAAACAAACCTTGAAAAACACTTTTGCCATTTGGCCAGTTTTTTTGTCTGGCATTTGACTTATCTAACTTCTCGCTTCTGTCATAATATATCTTAAAATACGAAGCGAATTATATTTTAGGCCCACCTAAGCTTTTTGATTAAATTTAACTTGGGGAAGGCATAATATATATTAGTTTGCAATAATAAAAGCAATAATAATAAATAAAACTACAAAAATATGTAGTTTAGTTAAAAATGCACTCAAAATTAATAAACAAATTAAAAAAAAAAATATTTGGTTTTTGTATATCTTAAACTATGGTATTTTTGAAATTTAATATTAAATAAATTTATAAAAAAAATATATTTTATATTGTTTGTTTTTACATTTTTTATAATTTAATTTAATTTTTAATTTTTAGTTCAAGTTTGAATTAAAATTTTTTAATTTATAGTTTTCAATAAATTAAATAAATTCATATAAAAAATTCATTTTTCGGAAAGCGTATTTGTACCTTCGCTCTGCAACCTTTTATCTACCTTTAGTGTGGGACAACTTTAAGAATGTATCAAATTTTGCATGCAGCAGCAGCAGCGGCAGCGGCAGCAGCAGCTAACAAATTAATTTTTCGTGCACAACGACAACAGTCTCGAGTGGGCTATGGAGGCGGAGTTGGTCTCTTCAAATAGGCGTGGCAAGTGCTAGGACTCGCTTCGCTTCCTCCCTCCAACTACACATAAGCAACATATATCATAGACGACGGAACAGAAGCTGCTGCTGCTGCTGCTGCTCCGGCTGCTCATGTTACGCGTCAGGCTGATTAGAATATAGCGAGACGTTTGCATTATTTATGCCAGCCAAATGAAGGTTTGCGGGTCAAAGGCTGGTCGAGTGGAGCTGGCTGGCATGGGAGCAGCAACAGCTCCATTGACAAAGCATGAGCGCACGTGACGGGGCAGTGCGAATGACAGGTGGACGAGAGAGAAAGAGAGCCAAGCTGAATGTCAAGCCACAAACAATGAAAATAAAAGGAGCCAGGCACGTGACAGGACTCGCTCCGCGCTCATTATTGAATAACTTATTGAGCGACATCAGAAACTGCTCCTACCACTTTTAATTGCAGACGGTGCCTTAAAAGATGCCAAAAGCAAGTCGCAAAGCGAAATTAGTTGGGCAGCAGCAGCAGGTCCTTTAATCCTTTCTATGTCCTGCGAAGCACGTATGCCACAAGGCAGCAGACTGCACGCTACAATTATTTTTCATGTTGAGACCTATTCTAATCGAATGTCTTTCCAATCATTTGCAGCCTGTTTTTTATGTGTGTGCTTGGGGCAATTGTTGAGTGGAAATAATTAAAGTTAAACATTTATATATAATTTTTTAAGAGATTAGTGGTGAAAGGGGAAGATGATGAAAGTGAATGAAAGGGAAAACTGTTATTGGTTGTCATAGGGAAAGGTTTTTAACTCTATCAGCCATACAGCAGTGTGCATAAAAATAGTGCTGCACTACACAAAGCATAAACCTAATGAAAAGGTTTTTATTACAAAATTAAATAATAATTTGAACTAAATATATGTTTTAAATTGTTTTTAAAAAGATTGCGTTTATCACTAAATTGTGTTTACTTTTATTTCTATGAGCACAGCTATATATACATTATACAGAGTATCTATTAGTCAAACATATATCAAGAACTTATCATTGATTCAACTCTAACTTTAATTTCCACTGAAATATTCTATAGACTCAGACTGATTAAAGACCAACTCTTGTAAATACGCCTTTCCATGCGTTGTCCCTGTCAAAATGTTATGATATTCAAGCAGCATAAAGAAGCATTCAGCTGCTGCCTGCCTGCCAATGGCACTTCAATAGGCAATTGAGCTGCCATTTAGACGCTTGTCAAATGCACAAAGAGTTTGAAAGAGAGCACGGTGCTGCTTGCACTTAAGCCTTTCCCTTTAGCTATCTGCAGCTTAATTAGCAGCAGGAGTAAATTCGAGGGGAAAAAAACTGTAGCATGTTCGCAGGCGCCGCAAGCAGGTAGCTAATTTCCGGTGCCGTTGGCTCAACACAAAAATGCTCAACAAAATAAAAAGCAGCTCAAAGTTAAGCAGCGTATTTAACGCTTCAGGCTGAGTGTTGCTCAAGAATTTTTGCATACACAACCAAAAGCTGACGTCGTTCGCTGCACTCGAGCCTGGCAAAGTGCCTGTCGCTACAGCTAAGTGCGACAAGGCATTTAAGCCAGATAGACCAATAGAGAGAGAGAGAGAGAGAAGGAGGAAGAATGACAGCATTTAGCAAACGTTGACTTCAGCAACAAGTGGCTGCTAAGGGGACGCTGACAAAGCAGGACATCTTCTGGGGACAGCCCTGACTGAGCACTGATTGAGTTACAGTTCGGGTCGAGAGCCGAAGCTGGCTGGCAGCACGCTAAATTAAACAGCAATTGCAAACTTTCAGCACAAACTTTCACATAATTTGTGACTCTCACTCCACAGATGTGTAAGTGTGTGTGTGTGTGTTGGCCAGGTAAAGACAGGACCTAGACATTTACAATTTTGTTTAGCATATGTGCTAAAATCGTATTATAAAAACGATTTCCTGCACAAAAGACACAATTTTGACCTTGTTACACTAAACAAAATAATAAATAATATTCAATTTAGTAAGCTTTAAGCTGTATCAGACTGAGATAAGATATAATACATAAAGTAAATTAAAATAAAATAAAATATCAAAATTAAGTTTCCATATCAAATTTAAGATCTATGACTATGCATCTTGTGGCACTTGAAGTCAGTTTGCAAAATTGTGTTTGTTTATTTCCAAGTTCAGAACTTGTGAAAACAAACAAATTGAAAATCAATTATTTTTTCACGACTACGACCTTGAGAAGGTCAACGTAGGTTGCCCGTGTGACTTCCCTAAATATCAGACCCTCTCACAGACTTGTATGTATATGAAAAGTGCCTTAATTGCATTTTATGTTCTCATCAAGTTACATTATAATTTTTTTATAAATCCTATTTAAACTCTTTGCCCACAAAATTAATTATTTATGATGTTCCATAGCAACGAGCTGAGCTGAACGCTTGCTTATCTCTGTTTCGTATGGACAAACATGCCACATATTGTATTTTAAGCAGATTTGATTGTTTTTGTTTATGGTATTTTAGTCAATATTATTCATGATAAGAATGAAATTGATAATGAAGCGATTGCAACGGCAACCAAATTGATTAAGTTACTAAAATAGAAGTATATTTCAGCGGAGTTTGGCTTAAAGGGGGCGACTATACTGAATGATCATATAAATATTACTATAATCTATAATCATGTATAAGACAACAATTAGAAAAAGCTTAAAAATTATGTTATAATAAATAATTTTCTAAAAAAAAGTATGGGATTTTGCAAAAAATTGTTTAATTGTTTAAAAAGTGATAGAATCCTTTGGGAATTAGCTGGACCTTTTTTTATAAATATATGAGTATATATACTACATATATACATATATAAGCATGCTCAGATAAGTTAAGTTAAATTTAAAACTAGAAAAATAAAGAAACCTAACGATATTTAGAGCAACAATTTATATCCACATGGTTTCCATGTGTTAATAAGCTGTAAATGTCTAAAGAGTCATTTAACACAATCACACAGAAGAATGAAAGAGACAGAGCGAAGAGAGAGAAAGAGAGATAGATAGCGAATGAGCGGAAGTTATTGAGTTATCAAACTCTTGCTTCTAATATTTTTCAACTGTGTCTATCAAGCTCATAATGTGTGCTTATTATAAATTCTTGTCTTTATGGGCCGAACAGTGGAAGCTGCAGCAACTGCAATGGCGGCAACAATTGACGTTGGACGTTGCAGCAACAATAAAGCCATGTGCAACAAACAACAGCTGGCAAAGGCCAAAAAAGAAGCGAATGGAAAATGCTGGCCAACAATTGAGATCGCTTATCAGTTGGCGTCTAATTTACGACAATGAGGCCGCCAAGCGAGGCCTATGCGGCACACACACATTTAATCCCCAATGCTGTGTGCGTGTGCATGCAAATATGACACTACATACATACACACATGTTTAATGTTAGCTCTGCTTTAATGCGCGTTGGAACTTACCTCGAATCGAACTTCTTGCCATCGGCCTGCAACGTGCCAGTGTAGTGCATGGTAAGCGAGTCGCCACTCTTCGTTTTCTGATCACAAATCTCGGGCACACTGATCACATCCACTTTCAGGTCGCTGCAGTGAACGCCGCTCAAGGCCACGAAAAGGCAGGACAGCACAATTGACTTCAACATGACTGCAAATAAGTGGAATTAATTTTAGTTAAAATTTGCCTTTAATATTTGGGAATTACTTAAAAATTAAATGAAAATCTAGTAATAAATTAATAACAATTTAAGCTGATTAAAGCTTGGTAAGCTTTAAAATTGTTTCAATGCAAAAGTAAAAGCTGGGAATGGATTCAAGTTATTAAACGTAAAAATCATTGTTAAAATAAAATATAAAATATATTAATTAAATATAAAAGAAAAATGCCTTTATAAGTTGTTCAGGTATACCAAATATTAATATTAAGCTTAAGTCAAAGCGCCACTAAGTTTAAGCATCTCCATTAAATTTTGTTTTATACTAAAACAAGAAATCTTCAAACTTTATGAATAACAAACACAAAAAGATCTCCTGGAAACTATTATAAATTCTTTTAACTTTTAGTTATGCGTTAAAATTAGGCTAAATCTCGTTTTCAATTTTAAAAATCAATCAAAAATTACATAAGATAAACTGAAAGTTAATTAAAGAAGAGGATGCACAGTGTAAAGTTTGAATAACACAAAAAAAAAACAAAACTAAGTAAAGAGTGAAAAATTGGTTATTATGCAAATGTACAATTCATTTGCGAAGCGCCAAGCAGGTTTTATCCAACTGCAGAGGATTACGCAATGCCAAAATTGCAAATTATTGCCATCAAGCGTGTGTGTGTGTATTCACTGTGCGTATGCGTAATGTCCGCAAAACTTTAAAGGCGACGGATGACCATTATGGAAGCAGCATTTGGATTTCGAAAACGCCTTGCGTTATATAGTTCGTTTTGTGTAGGTGTTTTGAAATTGCAAATGAAAGTTGGAAATTGGACATCTTGGGCATTTTCAATGGGTCATTCGTAAGATTTATGCGCTTTTGGAAGAAAGCGTTTCAAGAAAATGATTCGCAACAAATAAGCTCGCCTATGAATGACGAGCACAATGTCTAAAGATACGAAACTTTCACTAAATAAAAGACCCCGCTGAGCCCGAGATGGCACCTTACAATTGCTAACGGCACAATTACGTGAAAACAACATTAACATTTGGACTCTCTACTACGCTTGACTCTTTCATTACGAATTACCCTATAAGATCTGTTGTTATATCAATTTGTTGTTTAGCTCGTACTTTGATCTCTAAAGTCGGCTATTTTTAGCATGTGAAATTAAGTTAAGTGGTTTTTTTATATATCAAGTACCTAATAGTATAGTAGCTCTCGCTAATGCTAAATTAAACAAAAAATTGGGTTTGATACATAGAACTCTTGTATTTGTCTAAATATTTATACAAAGGAAAATTTTTTCCATTTACAGTGTTTCTTCTTTTCATTTATTTTGTTATGGCAAAACCAGAAATCGAAACGTAAGCAAATATTTAAGAACAGCTGATCGAACTGGGTCACAAATGAGTAAAACCCGTATCTAGAGAGTTCTTCAATAGTTGTAAAGTTTTTTGTTTAAAGATTTGGGTATTTAAGAAATTTCTAAAAAAAATATATTTAAATTTTCATTAATTGGTTATTTATAATCCAATTCTAAAGCGCATGCAATCTTCGGCGAATGGAATTTGACTTCTTTGCTGTATTTCGTTATCGTTGCTTCTTCTTTTTTTTGTGTTTGTTTTTTTTTTTTTTTGGGGCGTTTGCAGCAAAACCAGTTGCGTGTGTTGGCACCTTGTCTTTGGTTGCTTTGCTCTTGTCTTTTACTTTATTTTATTTTTGGTTTGTTTGATTTGAGAGCTCAATTACAGCCTGGTTCGTTGAACTGTCGCCTCTTACCGTTAGGCAGCCTACCTGGGCCAACAATGCAATGACTCGACTCAATAATTTGCGGCTAAACGTTAATGAAATGAAAACTTTACAGCTGAGCAGGAGGCACACGTCATGCGTTTTTCCATCAAAGATAATAAATACAACTAATTAAAACAACAAACGAATGGGGATTAGCTATACACGACAACAGCAACGACAACATCAATTTTGTAGGCCGGCCGGGAGATAAGCGCTGGTGTTAGTGGCTTCACATTTCGTGCTCAGTTTCGTTAAGTTTTCTTTGGCTGGAACGTTGCCCTCTCCCCCTGCTCCCTTTCTCTTCTTTCAATCGCTGACGCGATCCCGCGCTCTCTTTTCCTCTTTACTCTCTCTCATTCTCTGCCACTGACTGTGCTGTGTGCTGTGTCGCGGCATTCGCTGATGTGTAAAACACGATGTGAATATGAATGAAAAAGACATGCCAGCTAGTCAAAGTACATGCTTTCATTTTGTATCATTTGCGTTTTGTTTTTGTTGCTAATTAACTGCATTTTTCTATGCATTCACACGTATACACAACCACACAAGCTGTGTTTATTAAGTAGTCTAGTTTGTTTATACCTTTTCGTTTATTTACTAAAGTAATCCACTCAATTAATACCGGATATTAACACGGCGAGCAATAGGGCTAACGGTACAAGCAACGGGTACACAACTGCTACGATCGACGTGCGCAAGGCAACTGTTGGAATTTGAAAGACGACGTCGACGTTTACTATGCGGCGGGGGAGCTTTTGTGAGCGCGCAGCATACACCAATACAGCTGCAAAAGTGAACGAAAAACAGATCGAGCACCAGAGCACAAGAGCGCGAGAGCATGACGCGGCAAACACTTGTCCACGTAATCAAAGTAACACGCGCAGCTCTCAAACGGTTTACACTGAGCGACAAACTTTAGGCGCTTGTCTCCAAAGCCCTGTCAAAACCCCTGTTTTCTGTTTGTTTTCTTATTTAGATTATTGTCAAATTCCAAAAGGTAACTCTGTCATATATAAAGAGAATATGAAAACAAATCATATGAAACTAAAGATGTAGTGTTTTAAAACTTATTTTTATGTAACGTATGAAACCTTTCAATTATATTATTTATATTTTTATTTATGATTCTGTTTTCTACAACTTACTTTGATTTTGCTACAAACGAATTTATGAAAAATGTTCCTTAGCTTATAATAAAAGAGCAACAAATAAAAATAGGATAGAGCTAAAACACACAACCTGCTCACGCGCTGTTACAATGTTAACTGTGGGACTGCTGCCAGCATGCTGTTAGCTGCTTGCTCAGCATGTTGCCAGCAACATGTTCGTGTTGCGCGCAACATTCATGTTCTTAAGCTAACAAAACTGGCCACGCCTCCAAGGCGCATGCGCCAGGTCCAAGTGGGCGGAGTTAAATAGCAATGAAATTTTCTGTTTTTTGAATAAATAAAGAGTAACAACAAAAATGATAATAAATTAATTATGGTAACAATTTATTAGTATTTTAATAAATCTATAACATTTCTTTCCTCTTCAGTTAAAAACATATGTGTAAAAAAATTTTAAATTTATTTGAATTGATTTTCTGTATGCTTACAATTTATTTAACAACTTTTATTCGTATATATTTAAGCATTTCCGCGCCTCAAAATAAACTATATCTCGTATCTATTGTCAACCAAAAACCACACCCAGAAATACGTAAACAAAAAAACAAACAAAATTAGTTTAAGCAGATTACCCTTGGGGGTTATTTTACGCCCCAATGGATGCGATTGCTAATTCAAATCAATTAGATTTGCTAAACTCAAATTAATTTGGCTTCAGTTGCAAACCAAAACGAGTCGCGGCGGTTGTTTTACACTTAACGCATCAACAAAAAGTTATAAAAATAAAAATAATGCTGCAGGAGCGACCGCCGATACGAGCTCAGGCATATGCCCTTAAGCGTAGGGAACACAAATTTGTGGTCGAGCGCATCGAGGGAATTATAAATCCAGCCTACGAGCCCGACTTGGGTGGGGATGCTAAATCGGAGCGTGCAGCCAATCAGCGCCGCAACCAATCAAAATGGCGAGTATATAACTGTAGTATCTAGCTATATACGACTTAAGAGCGCTTGATTTTCGATAGCATATAAAAGATTAATAGTACTAAGTCACATTTAAAAAGCTTTGGGGCTTTTATGTTTAAAATCAAATCAATTAATAATTAAATCTGCAAAATTCTGAATATATCAAGAAAAAATTTGAAAGAAATTATTTTATAGTATTTTTCAAAAAACTTTTTAGAATTATTTATTGGTTTTTATTTTACATATATTGATATCTTAAGAAATTTATGTATATAAATTATATATTATTACAAAATTAAGTCCAAAAATATATTTTTTAAATAGAAAATGATTTATCTTGCATCTGGCGCGGCTTACACATCTTTTAATATAAAAACCATAAGCAAATACAGTTAACATTTGATTACTTATTTAATATATGTACAAAAAATATTATAAAAATAATAAACTTAGTCTACATAAACAAATAAATTAATAGAAAACTTGTAGGAATTTTTCAGCTTAAGGAAATGTTAATATGTTTATGAGGTCTTTCACATTTAGAATATATGAACTTAGGTAAATATATACAATTTATAATATGTTAAAAATTAATTTTTCTATAGAAAAACTTATAAATAATTATATATAGTGTATGTATTTGTCTTTAAAATTAAAACTTGAATATTTCAAATTAGTTTTTTAATTTTTCTCAAATTCTTTTTGTTTGATCTTCAATTCGATCTCAAGAATTTTATGCTGAACCTCAAGATTTCTTAGTTCGGCCAAATGTTTCTGTTGAGCTCTGATATCCATGTTGCGATAATAATTGAATTGAGCTGCTAAAGATCTCTGCGTTAAGCTGAGTTCTTTCGTCTGCTTAAAACTAGACTTAAATAGTTTTTTTCTTAAGATTTTATTAGTTAAGTCTTTTACCAAGCCCACGTTGTCCTCTTCGGTGCAATGCAAAGATACTTTGCCAGTCTCTCGAAAGGAGATATTGCTTTTGGCAGTAAATATTGGCGTATCGCTCTGTGGATTAGAGTTATTGCCTGACACCGACTATGGAATACCCGGTCGCTAAACACACACCTGATTTATATTTGTGTACTGCTGCAGAAACTCTCGCATGTCTTTTACATCTTTTTCCGTGGGCGGCCTTGAGTCGGTTTTGGGACTTTTAACTGCAGTTTGACAACTATCTGACTTAGCCTTGGCCAAAGGAATTTGGTTCTTATCTTCCTCGGACACGATCTGATCAGCTTCGAAGGAACTGGCATGTAGCTCAGAATTTGTCCGCTCTACATCAACTGACTCTAGATCATTTAGGGATGTGATTTCATTCGCTTGAAATTCTGCTTTGATGTGATCTATTAGCTTCGCTTGATCAACGCGATCCGATTTCTCTTCGATAACTTCGCAATCCTGATTCAATGACGACAGTGCTAACTCTTTCTTTACCAACCCATTCGACTGTTTGTTAAGTTTCTTCATGGTCTCGTACTTCGATTTCAACTTCACAGCCGATCGCCGGATTTGCGTGTTGCTAGTGAAGGCTCTGTTTAAAGAGATTGGAATTAAGCGCTCAAATCTGTAGCTGGGCTCACTTGTAAAACTCAACGGCTATGTTCTCCCAGGCACGATTCTTCGAGCGCCAGACATGAGCGTTCGATGTCTTCTCCTCGATCTCCTTATGATACTTGACTGTCAGCGTTTTCAGCACGTTTTCCTCCGCAATTGTAAAGTTTGGCATGCGCGAACGCTGACGCCGCGAATTCATGATCTGTACAAGACAATGGATCTGTAAAATAGATTTTCGAATTAGTTGCGCACAGTTGAGCAGTTGGGCATTTATTGTAGTCGTGTATCGTGGGCATGTGTTGATTTAAGACCTAAGTTTCTTAGAATCCCATAACATGCTTGGTCTTCGGTCTTTTAGCTGGCGGAGGCATAGTTTCCAGCGTATTCTCAATGACCGCGAATTGACCCGCTGTCAACGTGGAGTGCGGCTGCTTGGTAAAGTTAAGACTTTCATTAAATGAAGTTTCTTCGATCTTGGCCGGTTTTAGATCGTTCACATCCACAGTCTCTACTATGAGTTCTTTGTAGTCGGCGTGGACGGCCTGGAAGCGCTTGGGCAGATTTGTGCCCGGCACCAGTTTCTCATCATCTTCGGCTGCATCAGCTTGCAACGCTGCCGGCGACAGCGTTTGTTGCAACCAGGCAGCTGTTCGATCTTCGGCCGCCTTCTCTTTCAGCTCCGCCTTCAGCTTCGCATCGATCATATCGATTTCTACGTCTCGCGTCAGCTCGAACTCATCCACATCCCAGATGCTGAGCAGTCGAGTGCTGATCAGGTCTGTGAAACGGTTCAGTTGGTAGGCAGACTTTTGCCAGGGACCACGATTCACAGCCTTCTTTTTCTTGACTTTCTCGTTTGGGTTTGGCTGGGTCTCTGCTGGTGGAGATTCCTTTTCCTTGGCTACTTCTTCACTTTGACTATTTGTCGGCTGTGCTTGTTGCCTTTCGCTGTTCTGTTCGGTCTCCGACGAGGACTCGGGCTCGGACTCAGTGAAGTCATAATTTATGGTCACATCCTCTATGACCAGCGGCTTCTCCACCTCCACGTTCCTTTCGTTTGCGGACTTCATAATCTCTCGCATCACAGGCATGGGTTGAACTGTCGTAAAGCGTAGATTCTTTTTCACGTGATGACGCACCAGCTCCGCATAGTAGAGTATCGCCTCCTTGGTGTGCAGACCGGTGCGCTGTTCCCGCTGCATTTCCAGCTCGTCGCGCAGCGTCACTCGCTGGCAGTGAATGTCGCCCACGCTGTTGGCGGTGAGCAGCTGAGCGAAGGCACCATCGATGGCGTTCTCCAGCCGGTGGAACTTGATGCCCGTGGTGCAGCATTTGATGCGCTCCGCTAGATCCGCATAGATGTCTACGGCCGCACCCTGCAGCTGTGCATTCAGCAGCGCCTCCTCCAGCTGAGGCGGCTCATACGGCAAGGAGGAGGAGTACATCTCCGTGTAGCTTTGTGCCAGAACACCATTCAGCTCGCAGACACGTTGATCGCTGGGATCGGCGCTGCTTAGCGCCACATATTCGCTGCCCTCGTGCGCAATGGCATCCAAGAAGGTGGGCGAATACCTCATCTGATGCGTCCAGGTGACAACGGCACGATCCGCCACCTTCTGTCCTAGGCAGCGCATATCTAGACAGTGCAGCTTATGGTTGCTTGCCACATACAGTAGATTGGGATTCACGCTGTGCCCCAGGCAGGAGAAGCTCTCGCAATGCTGCGAATAGACGCTGCTGGCAAAGCAGGGATTGATTGCCTTGTTGGCACAGCGCATGTCGATGGTGAGCACGGCGGATTGGCAGGCATAATGGAAGCAGTGCTCCTGGCTAGCGCGCAGCTGTGCCCAAGTGCTGGTCTTGTGTACGCCTTTTAAGATGCACACCTCATGCTTCGAGATGTCCTGCTCTGTGATAATATCCTTGAAGCGCACGCTGTGATCCTGGCATGCAATAGCTAAGGTATTTGGCTTATTATAGGCCTGTGCCACGCTGATGAAGGGTCCCTCCTGGCTGCTGTATCTACTCTGGCAGCATAATTTGTATTTGTCAGCTTCCTCCTCATCGTCTTCTTCCGCATCGTCATCATCTTCGACCTCCTTCAACTCATAGATAGCTATATCGTTTAGCATGCGAGCCAGGAACATGTTGCCGTGATTTACACGAAAGCTGGTCACTGGCAACAGCTCAAAGATCTCGCTGGACAAGTCCGGCAGCGTTTCGCTGTGCAGCGGACGCCACAGTTCCGCCTCCACGCCCACCTGGGATAAATTAAGACACTGCAGCCGCTCGCCAGAGACATGCATAGCCAGCGTCTTGACTTCCGGGCAGCCAGCAACTGAGTAGGGCAACAGATTCAGATTGCCGCCCGTGTAGTAATAGTCATAGCTGTCGCGAAAGTAGGTATTCTCCTGCAACGCTATCTGCTCCGCGAAATCGTACAGATGGCAATTGTATATCTGATGCTGTTCTTTCTTTTCGCGCTGCTTTTGTTTGGAAGTTTGTTTCAAGTATTTCGACTTGTGGAGGTGCACCATGCGCACCCAGTCATCGTGTGCAGCTGTTCGCTGATGGCACGGCTCTAAGATGGGCGTGGTCTGGCTGGAGACATAGACGGGCAGGGCCACAGTGTAGGCGCAGCTGGGCAATACATTCAGTGTCCGTTTTTGATTCGAATTTTGCCCCAATCCTTGATTGAAGGCTGGATGGGTGTGATGCGATGTATTCTCTAATATATGACGCAAAGGTGCCGGTTCAGTCTCCAACGTTTCCTGTTCATCTTCTTCTACGTCCTCATCCGAATCGCTGGTCGAGTATGCTGCCTCACTACGTTGATTGGATTTAAGCGATTCGATCGTTTGGTTCAGCTTTTCCAGGTACAACTTTGTCGAATATCTACGGGGCATGTTGTTTAAACTAAGTGTCTATCTACAAGTTTCTTTAAATTGGAATCTATTTAATTGTCAGTGTTTCTGTGCTCGTTGTTTTTGTTGCTGCCTGCAAACCTTTTGCTTGTTGGGATATATTTTTATTCCCCACTTTATTTTGCTGAGTAAGGACAGTTTGTTTTTAGTGAAACACTAGCTTTCACAAGTAGTTAAAGCACTGTTTTTATATAGGATTCCAAAATCTAACTGCCAGTTTGTTAATATGAACAGCAGCGGGAAGCATGCTTTAGCAGTTTTAGAGATGGGTACTTTGATCAAGAATATAGAGGTGGCACTTTAAACTCCAATGAACCAAATCGGAAGTTTGTTCATTCAATTGCTCAAGTTCTTTTTCTTCAATTATCTTCCTTGTATGCATTTTAAAAAGCGTAAATTCACTTTAATTCATTCTGAGATATGTATATATTCTAAGATATGTATACCCTAAGTGACTATATATCTAGCATATAGCATATTTAATAAGCACAACACAAATCAACTACGTAGCTTAGATTATTATAATTTAAGATTTTAGTAAGTTTGTCTATAAGAAATTATCTAGAGCTGTTGGAGATAACATATGTAAATCATTTAATTTACTTCCAATGTCAATCGGAACGTAAAATCGATATTTCCACTTATGCGGCAGCCCTGTTGTTATCGACCTGCCACCGCACTTACTAATTCTAAACAAAGTCTGCACATTTCTTCGCATTCAACATTTGGTCACACTGTCGCGTGTATCATAATCGAGTTGAGTCGTTCGCAGTTTAGTCCAGAAAAGTTTTCATCCAAATTTATTCTTATTGTGACAAACAACAACGAATTAGTGTTCAGCAATCAGTTAAATTAATCCAATGCAGCATAGTAACTGTGTTTGTGTGTGGGTGTGCGCGAAACAGCATCAAATTATACAAGTTTAAAACGCGAAAAATTTGAACACCCAAACAAATATTGATTTTTTCATAGAAAAAAGGCCCCGCGAGTGTTGTTCTTATTGTTGTGTTTTGTGCGTGCCAGTTAACTACCAAAAGAAGAAGAAAAAGAAAAAGCAAAAAGTATAAGAAGAAATAAAACTGCCAAGAAAATCGAAAAGCAACGACAACGAAACGCGCATCAGTAAATTTCCACAAATTTGTAATTAAATTGCTGCCTGAATTCCCGTCTACCCCGCCGAACCATTTGATTTACAGTAACTCTTGTTCTTCTTGTTATTGTGGTTGTCTGCTGGAAGTTCGTCAACGAGAAACATAAGCACAACGAGCGTCAGGTGAGTCTTGAATGTCCAGCACTCACACAGAGGCACACGCACACCTACACAGCAGACAAGGTGATAATATCAAAAACAGCAACAACAACAGCACGCAGGCATAGGCAAATCATACGCACATGCACTCTCACATAACGGGTCTGGCTCGTGATGACCCCCTGCCACACTACCACTGCCTGTCAGATTTGCATTGCTTTGCTTTGTTGTTGTTGTTGCTGATGCATTTATCACTTCTGCTCTCTCTACACAAACTACCTCTATTACTATGCCCGCCTCTCGTCCGTTTCTCTTTCTTCGCTCATTCTACTCACAACGCGCTGCATCATTTTCCATCAATTTTATCATTTGCAATCTTCTTTTTTTTGTATTCTTTTTCCTTTTTCAATTAACACACTCAGCTCTCACACAGCTGAACTTAGAGCTTTTAGCAGTAGTTAACAGTTGTCTGTTAGACGTTACATTGCATGTTAATGTTAATATTGTAACTATTGTTGTTGTTACTGCCTGTTGTTGCCACATTTATCAGCTAATGCATCTTAATTTGTTTCTTTCTCATTTATGTTTCCTTTTGATTTGCTTTATGTTGTTAATTTTGACAAACCCCCAATGATTCTGACGTAACGCAGGCCCAGAAAGCTTCACACTCCCACGAGCTGCGTTATTTTTCGCCTATCCGCTTTTGTTTGTTTGAATTTTATTACTCCTGGTGCTCCAATTGTGAGCTCTGTTAACTGTGCGGCGCCAGCGTCGACGTCGCTGTCGCCGTAGTCCTCGTAGTCGTCGTGGCTTTTCGCCTTCGCCTTCGACAAACAACCGTTGCTTTTATTTGACTTTGTTGTTTAACTTGTCTGCATATTTAATATGGCGCGTAGGTCAGTTAACCTAACATTTCGAGTCCATCAAAATTGCCAAATTGCTTTTTGCCCGATTCGCTCTCTATCTCTGCCTCTCTCTTCTACTCCTGCGCTGCCTGGCTGTATTTTTATGTAACTCTCAAATCGATTGCAAACACGTAACAGTAAAGCAACCTGCACGACGCCCCTGCTCTCTATCTCTCTACCTCTCCCTCTCTTTCTCTCTCTGCTCACCCTGCAACACATCCGTGTCGCTAACAACTACATGGCCAGGAACTACGTTGTTGACGTTCTCGTTCTGCTCTTCATACATTTATGTATGTGTGTGTGTATGTGTGTTAGTGTGACGTTCGCATTGTACTGAAAGCCTCAGGGCTTCTGCCGTATAGCGTGACATTTCCTTTATAGGATTTCGTCCTATATACCTGCTCTACCTCCCACTGTCCCCCTAAAAAACACTTTGATTTGAATATAATTTCCACTTGTGTCCTGCAAGTTGCCTATGTACAGGACACGACACGAAAGATCCTTGAATTGATTGATAAATTATGTTAAAAACAAGAGAGAGAAAAAAGAGCACAAACTATTTATTTGTTGGCCAACTGCAAGTGGCCCCTTGCGGCTGGAGGCATCTACACTTTCTAATGCACACGCATTTGGCCGTGCTGTTGCCTTCGGAGTGGTGTTGCCAATGCGATTGCTGTTGACCTGCCAACGGTTGCCATGGCTACCTGCCAAATTGTCAATAACTGCGCAGCTACACGGCGAGAAATGATTGAGTAACATATATAGCAAGGTGTGGTTGTGATATTGCCAAAAAACATATTAAAGGATTTGTTATTGTCTATACAATAATTTTGAATCTATACCATGTTGTAGTTGTGGTGAAATATAGAAATGGAACGTACATAAATACCTCTATACTTTATCTGTTTTTACTGTTGTAGTTGCCTTAACTGATATAAAAATAAAGCATATCTAAGGCAGTATTATTTTATTTTTATTTCACAATATCTTGTATTTCTCAAAGTGCATACTTCTCGCTTGTATTATAACTCTTTAATACTGAACAAAGGATCGCATTTCTATATTTCATATTTTGAATAATTGTGAAGGTCACTCCCTTTTTCTTTCAGTGCAAGCTTGCACCTCTTGTCTTTGGCAGTTCCCATATAGTATATATATAGTTGTATAGCTCTAATGTGGCCATTGCCCATTTTTGCCAATTGGTAATTTTTTACAATGTTCTCTGACGCAATTGTAATTATGAATAATTTGCCATAAATGGCACACACTCTCGAACTGCTGCTGCTGCTGCTGCTGCTGCTGCTGCTGCTACTGTAATTATCGGAATTGCCAGTGGGGCGAGTGTACTCGCAGGCTTGGCCTAGTAGCCTAGCTATACAAGGCCTATATAAGCTATATAATATGTATAGTATGTAACAGGCAAATGGCACTTACTGCCCTTTGCAAGTCATTCGACTTATGACTGCGCTTTGGCATCTCTTGAAGCGGCAAATCATGTGCAACCAGGCCAAAAGGTCAAAGGTAACACTGACTTGCATAGGACTTGCCTTTACGATTTATCAACGAAAGGTTTTCAGAAGAAGTTCCAGATAAATCAGAGCTAATGTTCACGTATGTTTTATAGCCTTAATTAACTGTTGGACAATCAACTTTTCACGACCCAGTTCTTAATTGATAAGCAGAATTAATGAACACAGCTGCGATTAGAACTGCTTAAGTGGCTTGGAAACACAATATATACCCTGTATAAATATACAAAAGAATGGAATGCCAAATTTCAATTGCTGGATTATCCTACTATAAACAGAAGCTAAACGAGCTCAGAGCTTATTAGGTACAGCACACAGATTTGGTATGTAAGTTCTAATCAGCACAAATATTTGTATTTTATATAAATAAAAGTTATAATTGCTTGTCATATGATATATAATTAAGGAAATTTACAAGGCCTTATCAGTATTAAAAGAAATTAAACACGCTTTTATGATGTATGCTATAAAAATATTATATTTCACATATATTCAACATATAAACAGACTACCAGCTGTGTATATAATCTATGAGAACTCAGCTAGAAACTAAATATTTAATGTGTTACTTCTAATATATATAAACAAAAATATTGTATTAGAATACCTCAAACAGTAAAGCAGGTCAATATGAGCCTAAGATCCACATATTATATGTGGTATGTGGTATACAATTTTTAAAATAAATAAGGAATTGTTGGGAGTTTAATATCATATAACATGTATTGATAACATACATATGTGTATATGGACTATATGAACTGAGGAACTATAAGAGCTAGAGCTTCCAAAGTTAGTATACAATTTATTCCAGAGATTAGTACTCATATTGTACAAGGTATATAGACTTATTCATTAGGTATCGCCGAGTAAGCCAATAGTCTAATTTGATATGAGCAAACTCATCAAAATGATAGCTGAAGTCGTTTCTTAAGTGCTCAAGATACAATCAACTTTTTGTGCGCATTTTTTTCTGTACTCTGTGAGTCTGAGTCTTACGTTGACTTTTATGGCAAAAAGTTGTTGTTTTTGCTTTGTTGTTGCTATATCGCTATTGTTATTATAATAAATTTATGCAGCACACTAAGCGTGGCAAATGTGAGCAGCAGAATGAGAAACGACGTCGTTAGTTTTGCATAATAAATAGATAACAAACTGTACTATATATACTTATATAAGTATATAGATATCTATATGTGTGTAATCTCGACCTACGACCGTCGATTCAAATGTCCGGATATGTGCTTACATTTTGGACATTTGCCCAGACATTTTCGTTTTATGGCTCCCAGCGCCTGGTCAACAGAAAAGTTCGCAATTTGCTGCTGCCTTTTTTTATTGCTAAGACGCAAAATGTTTGCAGTCAGTTTTTTTTATTATTTATTATTTTTCTATATTTCATATGTAGAAGTTTGCGTCATCGTTGAAGCTTTTCGTTATCATTCTACAGTTATGTGACGGTGTTTGTTGAAAAAATTTGAAGTTTCTGAAGTGTTTGGATGAAAGTTTTGGTGACGCACTTAATCAGCTTGCAGCTGTGAAGAGCTGTGCAAATTCCATCTGGCCAGAGCTTTTGAATATAAGAGACCCTTGGGCAGAGCCCCATTTGCCGCATAGAACTGGAACTGGGTTAATGTAATGCACATTGCCACCGATAGAGGGGTAACCAGAACGGGGCAGAACAGAGCAGCGGTTGAGTGCGCTGCAGTCGCTCAGTCGGCAACATGTGTGCGGCGCTGTGTGCATGTGAGTGTGAGAATGCGTTAGTGTGAGTGTGTGTGTGTGTGTGTTGGGATTAGTCTGTGTGAGTGTGTGGCTTGGTTTGGCCTGCATATCTTGTTTCAAGTACGAACTTTGACGCCAAAAACAATTAATGCTCGTATATATTGTTGTTGTTGTTGCTTGCTTAACGCTTACTAACCAAAATGAGGTGTATGCTTATGTCAATCATTATGCATTCATGATGCCCTATAAAGACGAGAGACTATTACATATTTCACTTGATTTGTACAGAGAACTTAAAGCACAAAGCATATGTTAAGTAAAAGTGCTGTTAAAGGAATGTTATATCCTGAAAAGAATTAATCAGAGCTTAACATGTTTTGGGTGGTTGGCTTTCCATGTTAAACATTTTCATTGTGATATATTTTGATTGTCATTTTACATTATAATTTATTCGTTTTTTCCTTCTTAATTTATTTGATTTATGTTTATTGTGCCTGCTGCTGCTGCTGCTGCTACTACTACTACTACTACTACTACTGACGAATGGATGTTATTTGTATATATCACAAAATATACTTATACATATGTATATATTATGTTATGTGGCAACAATGACTGCCTGCTGTCTACCGCCTGCCGATGAATCACGTGTCAAATTCAACAAACGAACGTATTGTTTATATGATTTATACACCCAACAAAACCGTCGCATATCAAATGCACGCACTTACTCACACACACCCACAAAACCAACATGTGCACAAATTGCATGCACTCACACGCACACGCTCACATCACCCACTCACACACACAGTCAACGCACTGAGAGTTTTGTCTGCATATGAAAAAAAAACCGGGCAGGCTAAGTATTTAGTGTGGTGGAGCGACTGACATATGCCAATATACAACAATTTAAGGATAGTACACAAAAGAAAGTAAGGCCGAAAAGTAAAAACAGAAAAAAATCAGACAAACAATGCCGCAATCAGAGGGCGGCTATGTATCGCTGCCAGCGATGAATGGCAATGGTAGCGCCATCTATCAGTCCACCACAGAACCACAGTTAGCATCGCCAAACTCTGTCTTTGAGAGCATGAGGCGTGCTTTTGGTCAGGCGATCAAATCCTCTCCTGGAGAAAACGAGGAGCTGGTGCGCATGGATCGGCCGGTGGTCATTGTTGGTGGTGGTACCAGGTAAGTGAACCAGAAATGCACCCAAAAAAATCAAAAAACTTATATTTTACTTTTCGTCTAATAATTGATGTTGTTGATGTTGTCTTTGTTTGTTCCACTGCAAATGCATACATTTTTTTCTTTACTTCACCGTTACTTCAAGCACAAAACCATAACTGCGTTAGCATGTGCGTGAGAGCTTTTTGTGTTATTGTTCGAGCATTTGCATTACTTTTAATTTTGTCCAAAAAAGTGAACAAGGTGCACAAATGTACATATGTAACTATGTATATTATTTATATATATATATATTTATATATATATATATATATATATATATATATATATATATATATATACATATATATATATATATATATATATATATATGTAGATTGCTCACTTTGTGCTCTCAGTTACGTCACCAATCACAACATCGACACGGGGGCAACTTTCTTTATATTTATTGCTGAGCTAGCCCTGGCTCAAGGTCAGAACCCGCCTGCAGTTTTGTCAATACAACATACCCAAGCTCTAGAGTGCAATGCAAACCCAGACAATTCGCCGTCGACGGTGAACCGCAATTTAGTCAACTGCTAACTGCGCTTCATTTTTGTTCTATTTCTGTCAGCGAGATATATTCTTAAGTATTCATTCTTTACAATTATTATTTATGTTGATTACCTCCACCATCAACATCATCATCATCATCAGCATCATCAAGTGTTTTAATTAATGTTTCCGTAACAGAGTGACACATCACACTCGTAAACACCTACACAGATTGAATTCAATGAATGCATACATGCATACAATACATACATACATACATACGTACGTACATACGTACATACGTGCATTCATACATACATAAGTACATGTGTGTGTGTGTGTGTGTAAAGCTCGAGTTAAAGAAAGCTCTGTTTACACTTCAGTCATTGCACTTTTCGCTGTGCAGCATTTCTCGTTCTGTGTGGGTCTCACCGGTCCTAACCGGTTCGTTGCTGTTGCTGACCGTTTCAAGACTGGCGCCTTGCGCTTAAAGCAACCCAGCATTGGAAAAAAATGCGCGAGTGTACATAAACAGCTGAAGAAAGCAACAGCAAATATTGAAGTGCTTAATAACGGTATGTGCTTTTTACTTACCTTCCCTCTTCTGAGCTTTGCGTGGGAACAGCGCCGTGCGTGTTAGCTTCAACTTGAAAGGCAATTTAATGACTTTAAATTGTGCTCGCCTAATTGATGTACTAGGCTATTTCGAGAGAACCTATTAGAAGTACATACCGAGATATGTGTGTACCATGTCTGTGTGTTGGTTCGTGGAATATATAATAACTTGTTTATCTCTGATTGTAAGTCAGTTATTTATAATAATATAGGGGTTTTATCCAATACGATGTTCGGTTAGGATTAATATTTTATTATAGAAAATGAAGGTCGATATACAACCTACATGCGGTGAAATTGTATACTAAGCAACTACAGTGCCTTTTATACACATTTTCTTTTGAAACTTGGTCAGAGGACAAATGTATTATATACAATAATAGTAGCCTTGTAAACTTACAAGTTTTAAAGCAGGTAGCAAACCCAGATGTGCATATGGATGATTGCTGTAATCATATATGATTGGTTATTTTATAATTCACAATCTAAGTGCGATTGTAGAAGTTCTTCAAGCAAAGTTTATCTGTGATCTCTACTCTTTTGCTCTCTCACTGCTATGTTATCCCTCTGGCGTCCTTTTCACTCTGGTTCTACCCTTTTTCTGCCTATCTTCTCTCTGATTCGTTATCATACTTTCACTTATCCCTAAGACTGCCAAGCGTACGCCTATCTTTGCTTTATCATCTATTTCTCTCTATCACTCCTTCTGTTCTCTAATCTTCCTACCCTATACATCTTTGTCTCTATCCCTATCTTCTCACTCTGCATCTGTATATCTGTTCTCATTTATCTTCTATCCATTTTACTTGCTTTCGCTGTTATCTCTTACTCAATTCGATTCTCTTGTCATATAATTAGATTGTGTCCATTCCGAGTGCTGATGGTAAAAGCAAAGTTTAGTTACAGTAGTTTAAATAGTTTCCTTCAAAAACTGCAGACTTAATGCAGTTCCAGCCTTAATTAGTCCCTTATAGCGGAGTCTGTGGCTAATGGAGAGGCTTTAATAGAATCCAACCGGATTTTCAGCTGCTATAATTGAGTCAAAATATTGCGTATTTTGCTTATGCGCCACATAATTGTTTAATGGTTTAACATGGCCAAAAAGCTGTGATAACATTACCTAGACACAGAGTCTGGCGCTTAGACGTTAGCTCGGCGTAATAACTTTGTTAGAAGTTAGGAGAGGCAGCAGGAGGAGCAAGCACCAGTGGGAGCTCAATATTTGTGGCGCCAGTTGTTTGTTGTTGACATTTACCCCGAATGACATTGCGTGACTCATTTATTTAGTTTTACGTAACATGGAAAATGTTTACTATCGTTGTTATTGTCGTTGTTGTCGTTGTTGCTATTGTTGTTGTACTTGCTGTATATAGCGAGCACCCATTTTCATACTCAAACCACATCGAAAAGCAACAAAATGTTGCTCCATCATTCCGCATCAGCAGTCAAAGACTCAAACTCTTTCTCTTTCTCTCACTCTATCTGGGCAAACTTAAACTCAATTCTTAAGTCTCTCTCTATCTCTCTTTCTCCTTGTCTTTTAATATACATTAACAACTCGTACAGAAATATATATGCCAAAACATACAAACTAAGTGTGTGTATTTAGCTGATTATAATCATAATTAAATTTCAACTAATTCAATTTATTTTTCACATTTCCCCGAGGGAAAATGAAAACTAAATTGATTTTCTTTTCTTTTTATTTTTTATTTCCGTTGGGCTGTTTATTTGTTTATTAAAAGTAAGCGAATTGCCTCTCTATCTCTATCTCCTTCTCTCGACTTTTTTTTTGTTTTCGGTTTTTTGCTTGCATGCTCATAGTATTTATTTCAGAGACCGCGACAAAACTGGTAAGACACTGAACACCAAGATGCCATCAGCACCAACACACACTGCCGAGGAGGCACATCTGCTAGGGTAAGAAAACGAACCACCCAAAAACTGTACCGAATCGAACTCTACTATCCATATCATGTGTAAGATAAGCCACACATATATATATGCACATATATATCTATATAGAGATGTATATAAATATATATATATATGTGACGCGCCCCAGACTCTCTCCTCACGCTACACTCAAGTTACACAATTTTTTTTTATTGTTTTTGATTTAATTTTAACTATTCATAATTCACTTTAGAGCCTGTGTTTTGCCTAATTTCGTTTTACTTTTAACGTATCTAAGTATTTTGCATAGCGAGAACAACAAAAAATACCTAACAACAAATTATGATAATTATATATTAATATTAATAATAGTAAGAAGCCCAAAGCATCCGCCCTTGTCTCTCTCAAATCGCATCTCGTACATAACTTGAATGTTGAACAACTATTGCATACAAAGTATATTTACAATATATTTATATAAATATTATTTAAGACTTAAGTTTATTTTTGTCATTTTGATTTTGCAACTTGTAATTTAGTTAATTAGCCATTTAGACGCGTTTGAAGTTTCATTTAAAAATTGACTTCAATTTTGTAGTCCGACAACTCGTAACAAGTAGAAAGAACTTCAGGATGCCCCGCACTGAAAGCCAGCAAAACGCCGGATGCAAGTTAATGAGTGACCCACATAAATGAGAAATTCTATTAATTATAGAAGCAACTGTGTATAATTAGTTAAAGTTAATCTCTTTTTATTTATGTTTAGCACTATGCCCGTGGATCCAATGGATGACATCGAACTGCGCTCGGTGCAGCTGCAATTCCCCAATGCGCGCGGCTCCATTTTGGAGGCCTGCGAACAGCGACGCGTGCCCACAGACAAGGGGGACGTACATGTGGCCATACAGGGCGACACCTCCAAGCCGGCCATAGTGACCTATCACGATTTGGGACTCAACTGTAAGTGCTCAATCAGCAGCTACACCCACACCTACACCTACACCTGTACCCTCATCATAATTCACAATCTAAACGAATATAAATTTGATTTTTGAAAACAGATGCCACCAGTTTTGCGGGCTTCTTCAATTATCCAGTCATGCGCGGCTTGCTGGAGAACTTTTGTGTGTATCATGTAACTGCACCCGGACAGGAGGAAGGCGCGCCTACATTGCCAGAGGAGTAAGTGCCGCAAATAATTGCTTAAGCTGACCTCTCTACTCGCCAGGGAGAGATTGCGAAAGTAACACAAAATAGTACCCAAAAGAGCTTTAGAAAAGTACAGCAAATCTTTTAGAAGTAGAATAATATATATAGTAGAATATAAATTAAAGCTGCTTTAAGGTAAATTTAGTGTATACGGAGTAGAGACTGATAAATGTAAAAAATGTGTTTTATTTAACTATTTTATTTGTAAAACAATTGCTTCAAAGCAATTGATGTGTAAGAGATAGCCGTAATCAAGTTGTTAGCAATCAATTAATTTGAAAGAGCTGTAGAGCTTAGATCATATAAGTTTTACGAGTTAATTTTATTGTATATAAGTAACTAAAGATTGAAGTTTTATTATTATTATATATTTTAGTTCAGTTAAAAACGTTATCAAATTAAGTTAAGCAATAGCAACAGCTTACCATTGTAGAAGAGATAAATCATTATAATCGTTGTGTGAATGAAATTTGATTAGCTGTATGTGTGACAGACCAATTTTTGTGTTACGTTTAAAAAACATATATGATAAAAATGAATGCTAGCTGCTTTTATCAAGGCACCTGGCAAAAGAGCCTCTAGCTCTAGGCAATGTCTAATCAATACAAAATCGAAATATGAAAGCTATAGCTAATATAAATTGTATTTGATTCAAGTTAAGCGAAGTCTGAAAGCTAAATCACCTCTTTGTGTAACAAACTTACTGTTAAGCTGGCCACCCCTAAGCCCTGAAACACAAATGTCATTTTCGTCTTGATCACATCTAAATCAATATCTTCTATAACCCCCCGCGTAGCTATGTGTATCCAACCATGGATGATTTGGCAGCACAGCTGCTGTTTGTGCTATCGCATTTTGGACTAAAGTCGGTGATTGGCTTTGGCGTCGGTGCTGGGGCCAATATACTGGCACGTTTTGCCCATGCTAATCCGGATAAGGTGGGCGCCCTGTGCCTAATTAACTGTGTGTCGACGCAATCAGGCTGGATCGAATGGGGCTATCAGAGTTTCAATGCGCGCTTCTTGCGCACCAAGGGCATGACACAGGGCGTCATTGATTATCTGATGTGGCATCATTTCGGACGCAATCCGGAGGAGCGCAACCATGATCTGGTGCAGATGTACAAGCAGCACTTCGAGCGTGGCGTCAATCCCACTAATCTGGCCATGCTCATCAATGCGTATATTCATCGCAACGATTTGCATTTGGCGCGCACACCGCCGGGCACACCTGGAGCAGAGACGGCAGCGACTACGCTAAAAATGCCCGTTATCAATATAACGGGTTCGCTGTCACCGCACGTGGACGATACGGTGACATTCAATGGCCGATTGGATCCAACTAATTCGTCCTGGATGAAGGTTTACCTAACACCTCTTGTCTCTTAGTTGCCTAGACATTAAAATTCGCTTCGTTTTTCAGATCTCTGATTGCGCCATGGTGTTGGAGGAGCAACCGGCTAAGCTGGCTGAGGCCTTCCGGCTGTTCTTGCAGGGCGAGGGCTATGGTAAGTGTTAGAATACCACGCACACACTGAACAACTGAACCTCAACAACCTATCAGCTACAAAAATCTACTACAAATATAAATCTACAACTGAAAACAATCTACTTACCACCTATTACAAATCTACCTGCTGCTACTCTAGTCAAATTTTCCGTACTTCCCTTCAATTGGAACACAAGCAAATGAGCAAAACCACAGAATTATCTTTAAGATAGAACCCCCCTTCGAGTATTCAGTTCAGTTCAGTTCAGTTCAGTTCAGTTGAATTCTTCAATGCAGAGAATTGTAATATCTCAAAGTTAACTCCTACTTTCCATTCATCACAATCAAAATGCAGCTGCAATGAACACTAGAGCATATACCCTATACCTTATAGATTTACACGAAAGTCGCCTTCTCTCTATCCACTACCTAAACTAAAAAACTTAACCTAAAGCCTCATGTTTGCATAAATTGAACGACAAAAGCTTTTCAACCGCTTTCTGCGAGCAAACATCACAAAAATCAAGTGAAACCAAAATTTAATAAATTGTTCGAAATTTTATATAAGTATTATTGAATTGGACATACAAATTATATATATACATATATATACTTATTCGAAAAAAAAACAAAGAAAATTCGATTTATGTTTGTTAGCCAAAATATTTGTACGCCTAAAAAAAGAAAAAAAAACTAAAAATTAAATAAAGGAAAATTGAAAATCCAAAAAAAAAGTTGTTGAAAATCAAGCGTTTACTTTAACTCCATTTTTATTACAATTCCCTTCCAAAAAAAACTTTTTTAGTTAGAGACTTAGCCAGGGCGTTGCTTCACATAGACCAGGCCCTCAGAACTACACGAAAACACCTAAATTCTAAGCCAAAATTCAAATTTTCCCAAAATACGAAAAACAAATGCATTTTCGCAGAAACAAAACAACGAAAAAATATTTCAATATGTTCATTACTTTGTTTTTCATTTCTTTTTCCTTTCTCCAAACTGCTTGTTTTTTGCTAAACAAACATACAAAACAACAAAAACAACAACAATATAAAAACATATCCCCCTCTCTCAAAAAAAAAAACAAACATGACACGAAATACACACACGAAATACCCTGTAAAACGCCTGGCCGACCATCCTCGCCTGCCTCTCGTCATGCATCCATCTAAAATAAACCAAACAAAAAACCATATGCACTCGACCTTGGGCGCCGAAACTAACCTCAAAAAAATATATATATGTAAATTATATTAATCAAATCGAACTTCATTTAATGACCCAACGACGTTGTCGAATTTGCTGCATCATAAAATTCGATATATGAATTTCTTTATTCTTTTCGTTTCTCAAATTTATTTTCTCTTACGAAATTCTGTTATCAATAATGTAATGCAATCAATATGCGCAACAACAATAATAAACAATATTAATATATGGTATGTATATTTGTACACACAAAACAAAACAAAACACACATTAAAAACAATAAAACTTCCCTGGCAAATAGTCTCCGAGAAACCTCAGTAGACAATGGCAAAAAGAAAACAAGAAAAAAAACATAGTTGAAATGCATTTAGCTAATTAATAAATAAATTAAAATTACATATACCAAAAAGTAGGCAATGCTTAACACACATACATACACATACACAAATACAGATACGTTTGTCATTTGCTTGTGCAAGTATTGGTAAGCTTTGAAAAAGCTTGCATACATTTTAGCACTTATACACTGCGTAAAAGCTTTCAACTGCAAGTGACAAACAAAATGCGACATGTAGTTTGCTTATGAGTTTTATACAATACCCTTATACCTAGGAATAGCAGCTGCTCTCTTATACTCTCTCTCGCTATCTCTTTGTCTATATTTGGCACTCTTGCTTTATTTTGCTTGTAGTATTTGATTTATTTCCTATAACTACACAAATGCACTTATATTTTGCTTATACATGAATATACATATAATTTATTTGATGTTTTATTTATTTTGTTTATTTACACGCAATATTTGAAATGAATATATACCGTTACATTTAACAATGCGTAGCTGTTGGCACACTGCAAAAGTTGGCACGCAAAATGTCAGCGGCCAGTCGGAGCAGCTCCACGCAAATTGAGCTTTGCGTGCAGTGAGAGCAATGCGCCGCCCAGATTGGAGTTGGAATGGGGCGTGGTCGTGAGCGCGGGCAAACGAGTGAGAGAAATTGGAAGACACAAAAACAGAGATGAAAGCACAGCACGCTGAGACCAAAATACACATACAGATATACATCAATGCAAACATATATATATACACACACACACATGCAGATAGGCACAGCCAGCAACAAGTTGAAGCTTGAGCTTTTTTGAGGCTTTTATATATGTATGTATGTATGTACTTTTGTTAACTGTGATTTTCCATTTTCTTTTCACTTCTGATTGTTGCTTCTTAATGTGTGTTATTTTATCCAATTTATTTTGTATTACATTTAGTTATTACGTATGTATGTATATAGTTGATATATACATAAGTATGAATTGTTGTATTAAGTGAAAAACGAATGCAGTTGTAATAAAAAGAAAAACATTACACTGTATAATTTTTTGTGTATTCTTTATTTATTTCACATGCCGCAAGAGTTGAGCTGTACTTGGGCGCTCGTTGCTTAGACACACTCACACATACACACACTGACACATCCAATGCGTAATTCTATTAAAGCAATAAGTTTATATTTATATACATAAAACATATACAAATATACATACATACATGACAATGCTATTATACAAAAAAAGAAAAAAAAAAAACAAAAACCAATATATATAGATATATATACTATATATAATATATATATTATCTTATATGGAGCTATGCAAGAAATTTCACAAATTGTAAGCTTTTGTTGTGTATTTGAATTCTAAATAAAAGAACAACGTCAACGATAATTCAATTCAAAATCATTTGAGCCGGATCAATTGCGCAAATTCACTCGCCGCTCTCTGACTCTGACTCACTCAATATCTCTGTTGTTATTGTTTCTGGTTTTCGAGTCTCTGTCTTTTCACAGCAGCCGATAAGCAGGTGGCGCCCTACTCTCACCAATCAATTAAGTGCATGCAGTGCGCTCTCTCTCTGTCTCTGTCATCATCAACAAGAACATTTCTCATAAACGCCTCGCCAACATCTTCATCAAAAGCTCATCCGCAGCTAGTACAACAAAAGAACAACTACAACAACAACAGCAACAAATCGCAGCAACATCCCGTGATAAGCAATGGCCAAGCAACATCATCAATGCACCCACACAGATACACATACACACATACACAGATACACATATACACATGCGCACACACATAGAACACGCTACAAATGAGAACATAAAACCAGCAGCAAATCCTTAGAACGTGTATAAAGAACACTCATAACAGAAATCAACAACAATAACTACAACTACAACTAACATGCTCTCAAAAGTAACGTAACGTAAATAACAAAAGCCAAACTACTACTACCTTCCCCCTCCACAAAAAATATATATACAACTACAACTACAACTACAACACTGCAACTATAACAGCAACGCCGCTGTCAACGCCAGCTAGCTCTCCCTGCGGCACCAAATATCACACGTATTCATCGATATTCTTTGCCAACTTTCGCGAGCAACAATTGCAGGCTGCTCAGGAGCGAGAGCGAGAGCGCCAGCTGCAGTTGAGCTTGCGTATCGGCAATCGACTGCGAGAGACGGCAATCGATTGCAGCGGCAGAAGCAGCGACAGCAGCAACAGCAACAGCAGCAACAACAATGCTAACAATGACCCGACTAGCGAAGATGATCTGGATGCAGAGAATGGCAATGGGAATGGCAATCGGGCATATGTGACCACGGATACATCCGGTACGCTCTACTTTGGCACACAAAGCAACAAGATACGCATCACTGAGAATCCACTGCCCGAGCCGATTAGCTCTTAGATTGTCAAAAGTAACTCTTATACTTAAATAAAACATACACACACTCAACCAAAGAGAGCAAGAGACGCGACAGACACATATACACAAACACACTGTTATTGTTGTTATGAACTACGTATAAATATACCAAAAACACATACACACACTCACACACACAAACAGCAGCAGCCGCAACAGCAGCAGCAACCGCGCAGACGCCGCAGCCTCAGACGCCAACTCAAGCAAAGCTTTAGCCGCCAGCAACTGTGACAGTGTGACCAGAGCAGCCAAGCGCCGCCTGTATGTAGACTTTAGCCCGAGCCGCGCTCCAAGAGACAAACAAAACGAAAAAAAAAAATTAAAAAATATGAATAAAAAATTAAAGAATTGAGTTAAAACGAAGACACCGCTACCTATACAAGATATTGTACCTATGTTTCTTAAACAATATACAAATGAATTAAATACCACTTAGTACCCGAAATACCGTTCGATTTTTCTAGTTTCCGTTTAAAATAAAAATAAAAATCGAAAAGAACACAAAAAAATGTATTGCAGAGTAATATTGAAATATTGAAATATTTGTAATTTACACTTTGTGCCTGAGCGTAAAATATGCAAATACACATAGATACTTACGTACGTATTTGTTGTCGGTTTTTAGTTAAAACAATTGAAATATCAAATATACAAAATGAATACGAAAACCAAAAGAAAAAACCAAAAAACAGAATACTTTACATATTATGCGAGTTTTATTTCTATTTAGACATTATGCAATAAAATACGTGTATTTTTTGGATGCGACATATTTTATGAAGAGCTTGCTTAGTTGTTGTGAAAAAATAAAAGAAATAAAAATAAAATTAAAAACAAATAAATATAAATGAACAAATTACAAGCTTAATGTTAAACGAAAAAAAAGAAAGAAAGAAAAACAAAAATAAATACATTAACTTAATCCCAAGAGCAAAAAAATAAAATGTAGCATATCAAAAACCAAGCTCTCAAAATTACAAATACATTATAAATATTTAACTAGTTATTAAAAAAATAAAAAATATAAATAATTGAAATTCATACTGAATTGCATTCAATAAAAAAAACACAAACGCATAAAGGCAACTAAGGTAAAAAACAAAACAAAAAACGAATACGAATACAAATACAAAATAAAATACACTACAGATCCACACACAGATAAATAATGAACAACTTTTTGCAAATAACTTCAAATTCAATTTAATAAAAGTTTTAGAAGCTTGTGTCGTGTTGTTTTCGTTTTCCTATTGCTAATGAGATAAGTTAGCTTAACTATTTAGTCAGTCAGTCACTTGGGTTGCTGCATCAGCTCCTTTAGCATGTGGAATGTTGCCTCTCGCTCCTGGCGCATTACGCTGGACAGCTCCTGCAGGAACTGCGCCTGCATTTCCCGCTGCTCGCGCAGAAAGCGTTCCTGGGATTCCTTTAGAGTGGACAACAGTTGCTTTTGGCCCTCGCTGATGCTGGTTAGCACCTCCAGCGGCGTTGGCTCTGGCGGCATCTCAAATGCATCCTCATACTCCTCGCTCTCGGCTGCAGCACGCAACAAATCGCAACTTGAACCGGAGCTGCTGCCCTCACTGTCGCTCTCGAGTGGCGTCGCTGGCTTGCTGGACACACCCATGGAAGTGGTTGTCATATTTTGACTCGCTTTCGTTTTCGTAGTGCGCTTCTTCTTCATCAGATCTTCTAACATTTCGAAGTGGCGGGGCAGCATCCGCACATTTCTTAGACCATCTTTCTTGACCTCGCGATAGCGCCGCAGCAACAAGCGCAGCTTGTTGCGCAACTGATGGGGCGTTCGCTGGTAGGACTGCTTCGCCAGGATATTCGATATGTAGGCCAGAGTCTTGAAGTTGCGTTTCTTGGAGCCATCCAAAGCACGGAACAGATTTTGCTGTTTGATGATTGCCAGAAAGGCATCCACCTCGTGATCAGTCCAATAATACGAATCGGGATGACCTGACCAAATGAGTTAAGTTATAATCTTAGTCAGAGATATGTTAATTACAACGATCATTTGGCTTTAGATAACCTTGATCTAAAGCTAATTATAAACCTACGATTGGTTCTGGATGTGTCGGCGTCGCCTTCATCGCTGTAATTGTAATCGCTTTCGGTGCCGCTGCTGTAGTTCGCTTCGGATTCCGCGCCCGATTTCTTCACGGGATTCAGCAGCTGGTGCATGGCCTCGAAATGCTCGAAAGTATCGCCGCCATTCTTGGCCTTGTTGTATTGCCTTCGCAGATGCTGGAATTTAATGCGCAGCTTCTCGGGCGCCTTGTCAAAGGATCTCTTGCCCATTTCCTTCGAGAGCAGCTTGAAGATCTTGGCATTGCGCTTGCGCAACAGCGCAGATTGCAGTCCCATGCTGGTGATGATGTCCAGGAATATGTCCACCTCGCCCTCCGCCCACTTGACGCGCGCGTTGGACGGTATCACGGCACGAACTAAGGCACCTATAATCGACGGGAGCTTGATATAAATCGATATACTTATAAATCTTAAATACGACCTTCGGATTCACTGTCGGAGCCGAGTGCCACATCACCATCTTCCTCGCCGCTGTCATTGGAGTCGCTGTCTCCTTCTCCTGCGCTGCTCTCGCCATGCTGCAACGAACCATTGAGCAATGCGTGCATGTCCTCAAAATGCTCGAACGACTCACCGCCGTTCTTGGCCTTCGCATATTGCCTGCGCAGCTGATGGTACTTAACTCTCAGCTGATCCGGCCGCTTGATAAAGTTGCGCCTGGCCATTTCCCGAGCGAGCAGCTTAAATACTTTGGCATTCCTCTTGCGCAGCAACGGTGCCTGCAGCTTGTGAGTAATTATGATGTTCAGCAAAGCTTCTACCTCGCCCTCTGCCCACTTGCAGCGAAGCGGCATCTTGGACGTGGAGCCGGTCGAGCGGTTCGTATTATCCCCGTTGACCACTATTAAAATACTGGAAATTAGACGGGTATGCTAGATACACGTATGACCTACACTCAAGCTCCAGCGTTTGTGCATACTTCTGCTCCACTTTGATGTCCTCGTCAGGATTTAGTTCCAACTCTTGTTCCGGCTCCTCATCGTCTGTTTCGGGCTGCTGCTTGGGCGACGCCAGCTCGTCGCCCAACAGATCGGCCAAATAATTAAAGTACTGACAGGTACGATTGCGATAACGTGCCGTAAAGTAATCATTTCTCAATTTCTTATATCTATCCCGCAAGTCCGGAACGCTACGGCTATATCCGTTTGGCCACAATTTGCTCTCGGCCATTTGGTTGGCCACGCGCTGCCAATCCCATTTGCCGGCTCCATGCAGCTCTTTCAGAGACTTTATAATGCCGATTAGTGTAACTGTTTCATCCACACTCCAGCTGTCGCTATCAAATGAGCTCATTTTAACCAAATCTGCCTTTTTCTTTTTTGTTTATATTTTTGTCGTTGGCGTTTTTCGGCAAAAGGCAAATTGCTTGGTTCGCTCAGCTGTTTTGAGCTTGGAACTGGTGCGAGCTTGTGTGAACGAAATCGCTAACAGTGAACGGCACTTAACATGCTGCTGAACTGTTAACAGCTCACAGAGAGGCATTTTCATATTGGAACAAAATTTTATATTTTAAGTATTTAAGAGAATTTAATGTATAAACTGATTACCGTACAACAATATATAGCGAAATTAAATACTACACATTATGCCAAGTCAATTTTAAGACCGGCAATGTTAAAATTCAAATATGTCAATAAAATGCGCTATGTTATTTCGATATATGGCACGCAATGTTATCGATCTAAAGTTAACAGGCACTTGTGGCATTTATTTGGTATTGCAGCATTGCGTGCAGGCGGTCACACAGTATTTAACTGAATCTTATTATTGACGGTCGTTTGGCGCTGATGCTACGTCGTTTTCGGTGTTCGGAGTACGTTAATAACAACTTCCAAAATAAAACCGCACAATAATAAAACAAAGTCAATGTTTTGGTGCAAGCAAAACGAATACAAATACGTTACACTGTATCAGCCTCTTCGCGTGCGTAGTTAACTTACATTGCCAAGCGCGATTAAAGTGTTTTTTGCTGTTAACAATTTAAGTTCGTCCCGGTGGCTCTTCCCCTCTCGCTCTACCGTTCGTTCGTTCGTTGGTTTAGGCCGTCTGTCGGCCCCGTTAACACCGAGGTTCAACGCGATCGCCGCTTTTTTTATTGCCATTGTATATTGTATTACTTATAATATTCCGTGAATCGGTCGCAACGCTCATTTATTTTTGTTATTTCAACACAAACAGCTTTTCTGCTGAAACATATATAATTTGCAATACAATCGATCCGAAATTCTCCGATTTCGCGAGCTTTTCGCCCAAAGCTCGGCTTTCGAGATGGAGTTGGGATACGCTTGAATAGACCACAGATTCTCTGTCTCCCTCGCGCGCCGCCATCGTTTATAAACTTCGAAAATAATTTTCATATCCCGAGCATAAACAAATCGTTGGTTTGTGCAAACAATCTCAGTTCAAAATCCATCACGTTCTCATATTTATGCGCTTTATGAATTAAATAAATAATCAAACGCGTGTTGGATACGTACCCGATCCGGAGCAGGAGCTACAGCGACGATGTCTATATCTGGCATTATGTTGTGGATGTCTATAGGAGCTGGCATATTGCTGATCTACAGTTTCAACCTGGCATCGGCCTCGGCAACGGCCAACGCCGGCTATGTCGACCACGGAGATACGAAAGGTAAGCGATTTCACAATATCAACAAAAACTCAGCTACTTTTTGCGTTTCAGTCATTAAGTTCAGTTCAGTTATAAAGAAAGATTAAAAATGATTCGGAAACTTACTGGAAAATACTCTTTTTATCAACTAATTCCTATGAAAATTATATATCATATCAAAGTTAGCCTGAGAATTACATGATATCATTTTTCTAAGCACATTTATGAGCTCATAACAAATAAGTTTCATATTTAGTCTAAGTGTAAAACAATTTATATACCAAATGTTGTGGCTCTGTTATCAGTTGCCGAGTTCAATAAGGCTACAATTCTTCTTTTATAATAGATTTGATAAACGAAACTGTTGTATATATATATAAGATTTAAAAAGCAAGTCTTAACTAATTGTCAATTTCCCTCAAGTAACTCCCCTATTTTCCAACAGATCTCATTAATATTTCATACACACCTCACTTAGTTTACAGTTATATCACATACCATCGCAGGTTATGCTGACGCTCATAGTACTCGACTTGAATGGGTCTACGTTTACAGGGTATCTTACGTACGCCAACGTACGCTCAAGGCAACAGATAATAAATGCCAACTGAGATTACAGTGAGCACCCCAAGACAGTGGACAGACAGCAGTTTTTGATAAAAGAGATTCAATTCATTGAATTGGAGGAGGAAGTAGATCTGCCGTATGAATCGTACATCTGTTCATTCTGTTGCCCTTTTGTGAACAGGTTTCCAGCGGCGACAGATTTCCCATGGCATCGCAAACAAGGAGCAGAGAGCACAGTTTTCTACCTGTTTGTTTGTTTGGCTTTGCTTTTACTTTGGCATTTACCTGTGCCAGCCAGGTAGCAGCTAGTTGGCCCATTAAGCATCTCTTGCCCGTGTCAGTTCATTCTGTATCTCAGCTCGAGTAAATATGAATTCAGTACAGATACGAACACAGTTTGCACGCTTCATTGCTCTCGCTCACTCGCTGTCTTGCTGTCTTGCTATCTCCCTCTCTCTCTCTCCCCCTCTCTTTGTTGGCTCGTTAAGATCAGGATCACTTTTGTAGGCGCAAACGGCAAGCGCTCTGCCAAAATTTTCTATGCCATTTGCATGTTTTTTGTTTTTATATTCTTTTTTTTGTTTGTTGGGGCACGCAAAGGGCAGCTCCATTGGCTCCCCTGCTGTGCCTCGCCATCCACCCGCTATTGTGCAAAAAACGAGCCAAATAACCTGTTTTGGCTCTGTCTTTGCTTGTGCTGTTTATACCCTGCACACGCTGTAAATGGGTAAAGATGGGGCATATTGGGAAGGCCAGCAATTAGGCTAGCAGGTGAGAGAGAGAAGCGGTAAACGATAAATATCGATTGTTTAACTCGTGCCATCTTTGCATATAGATATACATCTATCTATCTATCTATTTATATATCTCCTATCTTCACTCATATTCTCATATATATTACTTCAATATTGCAATGCCTGCATAATGAACAAAATCTTGAGCTGGAGCTACACTGTTTGCCTTAAAAATAATCTTCATCGTCAATTTTCTGCTCTGAAATGTTATATTAGTCGAAATAATCTTGTAGCTTATCCAATTACAGGGTATCTCGTAGTTGCTTGCCCTGCGCTCTTACTTATTTTTAATGTCTTTCTTGCAAAAACAAACCCACATGCATCGCATCACAGCTATACAGCTCGCTCGCTCACTCTGGCCCTCTCCCTCTGCCTCTCTCCCTCTCTCTCTCTCTCTCACTGCCTTCTGCGCCTGCGCCACTTGGTTTCGTATCTGTTTTTCTTGCTTTTGTTGTACTACAGACTTCCTACCACCTGCCTCCCCAGCTCTGCCTCGCTTCGTCTCGTCTTGCGCTTTGTCTTTGCCAACTTCGTACGCATCTGAACCGTGAGATTTTATTTCATGCAAAAAAGTAGAAGTACTTGGACTCCTGTTGTTGTTGCTGCTGGCACAACTTGCAGGTGTTTTGCACACTCGCACAACAGCAACAACAGAAGGAAACCAGCTTATAAATTATAAGTTGCGCTCAGGTTTGTTTTTTGGCTCTGATATGGCCCAAACAAGGCTTGTTTGCCTGTTTTTCTTGGCTAATTTTTGAGCTACAATCCTTATGCCTGCGGTTCATGTAATTGACGTGCAACTATTAACATAAATTACAGCTCAACTGTACGATTTTTGCTACTTAATATATTTTCATGCCTTCAACTGTCACCTGCTTAGCAAGTCCTCCATGTTCACTTTATGTGCTTTGTTTGTCTGCTCTGTGGATCTTCTCCTCCGTGCTCCTTGCTCCCTTGATTTAGCTGTTCTTGTTACATGTTTAATTTATTCTCCATGTTCACCTAAAGTTAAGTTCACTATCTCTTTGGTGCCTATAGTCATTTCTGTTCTATTCTTATCTATTTACCCTCTTAGTCACTTCATTTGCAGTCATTTCTTATAATATGTACCATCAAGAACCTTAAATAACCATAGCTATTCTTGGCTTAATTAGTCTGTTATTACTTAAAGACTTGCCCCTTACTTTATCAAGATTTTCTTTAGCTTAAAATCTGATTTTAACCTTCAGCACTTGGCTTTTAAATATCAAATCTTATTCCGCCTTCAATCCAAGTTGCATTCTTCACATTATTAACATATATTCTCATATGATTATATGCCTAGTCTAATAGTTAATATGCGTTAGTTTCTATTAAGTAATTGCCTATTGTTGGTTAATAAACTTACACTTTGGTTTATGGCAACTTCATGGTCTCTTGTACCAGGCAAATACTTCCTAATTATAACAACTTATATATAATTAACTACATATTATTACTATCCTATCTACTTAAATCTCTGCTTCATAAATAATCATAAAACTTTTACCTCTTCTTGGGGACTTCAGCCCATTGCACAAAGTTCCACTCGAGCAATTTCCAACCATTTATCTCTCGATTTATAGACTTAGAAACGTGCTGAAACGTAATGCAATTTATATGGAACCCTGATCCCATTGATCAATGTGCAATATGGAATTGAAACTCATCGTGACTTGTGAGGCAAAGACTGCATATGAATCAACCAGCTATAAAGGTATATATATATATAGGAGTATATCCATTAAAAAGTCTAAACAACTCTCTTATCAACATTGATAAGAAAGTCACAAACGTTGAATATGTAGACCCCACTGATAATTACCCATGCATTACCTGAGAAATACAAAAAAAAGAATATCATTTGATATTTCGTTTTAACATGAAAACGCCGACAGTCGAAATTCTAAACTCGGGAGCTCTTAGCTGACGCATGATTTCTAATTAAAACTTTAAGTAACAACAAGGCTGATTGCGTGAGGCAGAGAGGCAGAGTGATCGAAGGGACAGACACTGCGCATTTAGCTATTGAAACTTAAATAAAGATTAGATTAAGATAAATATATTGCTTTAAGCACTTGACTCTTATGTCACTATCTTGCCTCACTACGGCGTATAGAATATAGAAGACATTTTGAGGGCTGTCATACTGCCCTTGTGGTATATAGGTCAGAAAAAGAATATCCTGTTCCAATGCCCAGTTTAGAAAAAAGTCTTATGAAATACAGGCTATAGAAAGCAGGATATATAGAGGCATAAACCTATCACAAGATGATCAAGGCATATAAAGGGGGTAAATACGGGGAAACCCTATCACAAAATGATCTTATGTGCTCTAAGATATAGAGGCATAAACCTATGAGAAGATGATTCATTTGCACAGGGTATAGAAAAACAGGATATAGGACAAGAAAAATATGGAAGTAAGTGCCGTT